GACTACCAGTTCCGGTATAAAATTTACATGTTCATGCTTATATATGTTCTCTGGTAGAATATGCTCGGTAAATGATTGGTGCCGCCGTAGTTTCGTGTTGGTTTGTCATTCCTGCAATAGTCTGTTCTAGTCCGATTGCCAGAAAAGTTTTTTTGAATTAGATGTGGTAATTCTCTATTTCACATGGTCTTCGGTTTTCGTCGAGTTCTAGGCGACCCAGCTGACAGGGTGTCAGTTAGGGTGGAGGAAGTCTGCCTAGGCGCCTACAAGCCTACACCGGACGGGGTGGGGTGCCTGAGTAGGGGGGCACTTCAACACTTATTGGTAAAAAAGTAATTCAACACTTACTAAACAAAATTTAATTCTATTAAAATAAACAGGGTGGGTCACTGAAAACGAAACAGCATTTAGGCCCATTTTTACAAAAAACACTCGGACCCGCCGATTTGATTTCCGAGGGGGACACATTCATTTAGTATTTTCGATCGTTCCACTTCAATCCTTCAGCGGTGGCGGAATCCACCCCCTAAAATTTTAAAGGGTAAGGGGGGTCAAGTAGCACATCATTTTTTTTAAAGCTCGTAATCCATAGATGTCATTATTTGCTTTCCTTTTAAAGCCTGTTCTACCTAAAACAACTCTTGCCGTATACCTCTACGAGAGGGAGGTTAAAAATATTCTCATGGGCAAGTTATTAAGGACATCCAATGGCACCTAGCACTTCAGGCAGGACATGTAAGATGTTATTATGACAATTCCATTGTCACAACTCCTGATTTTCTGAAATTTTTTTGTCCTTGGTTTTTTTGATCATCTGATTTTGAATACTATCTATCCAGATTTATTATTTTATCTATCTAACAGACAGACAATAAAACAAAATAAATTATAACCATTTATAATTTTATTTTAATTTGTACAAAACAGAATAATTTTTTTTAATTAAAAAAGTTCAACGATTTTATAATTTATTAATATTCTCTTATAAATATAACAAAATAAATATCCGTAAGAAATGTATACACTATTTGTTAACTAACATGTTTATTATTTATTAAACATATAGTCATGAACAGGCCCAGATTTTAGATTTTTATCAACTAGAGTTTTTGTTTTTACTAATTATACCAGCCTTCTTGCAAAAATTCCATTAAATCGTTAAAAACTTTAAATATAACTTCCATAGTGAAAAAAATGATTCATAAGAGAACCAGTTATAATTTTCAAATCTAGTTGTTAATCCAACAATACATATTTAATTATTTTATTATTTGTAGTGATTGTAAAATTGTTATTATATTGTTGATTTATTTTAGTTCTAAGCAAGCTACTGATCAACTGAGAATTTTTCTGTAGATTGTTGGCACAATCTGGGCCCGGTTTATAATAGTAATTATTAAGTTAAACATGATAAAAAGGCAGAACTTTTTTAAAAAAAGTTAATCTACTAAAATGCTATATCCATATATATATATATATATATATATATATATATATATATATATATATATATATATATATATATATATATATATATATATATTCATATATACAACATACATATTGTATATATATATATATATATATACACACATATTGTATATATACATACATACATATTGTACATATTGTATATATATACATATATATTGTATATATATATATATAAAAAATATATGAAGATAAGAAGATAAACATGTAACAACTTTTAATACTATTTAATCTAATTGGTTATCAATAAAATTTATTATTGTATAATATAAAAATATTTAACATAGATACATACATTCATTATACACACATGTATGTACCTATATACATATATGAAAATCACAGCCTAGAAGGCCTTACTGATTTGAGGTTATCTAATTGATTTTCCTTTTTTTTTCACATTTTTTCTATTGCTGTACAATAAATAGGGAGCATATCTTTGGGCCATAGGTCGATACAGCCACTCATAGAGCATATGCTATGTTTTCTTTACAAACCCAAAAGTAGGAAGTGGCTGTAAATTTGTATTTACTTGAATGGGACATGTGGGGTCTATACCCACCGATTCCTGGGACAAATTTGTCTTATTTGATCTTGCAGATGTAGGAGAGGATGGAGGCCGTTCAATTGTCATTGTTTGCTGTGGAATTTGACTGTCAGTCGAAATACCCATAGAGGAATAAATTTCTTTCAGCATCAACAGTATAGTGTCCTCTGATTCCCAGTAACATACGTGGCTAGCTAAGGCAAATATATATTCGTTGATAAATTCATGTGGAGCTTCTTGTAAAACATAATCAACTCTTCTTCCCTTATTCAAACTACCAAGTGGAATGTCTGTTAATTCTTGAGGAAGGTCTTCTTCTACTTCAGGTTTGTTCTCCAATTGTTCCTGGAATACCTTTTGTACTTCTTCCTCCAGTGAAGGTTGGTCTGGTTTGTGAAACATCGCCAGCTGATAGAATGAATTCCAAGTACTTTTCATTGAATCTATTACTTTTTGCTTTAAATCAGCTCCTACACGTGCCATTGTTTCTTTTAATTCTAAAATATAGTTAATCAGTTTAAAGAACTAAACCAATGTGGTGTTCAAATTACCTAAGTGCATCCTTTTCCTTCCTTTGTGATGTGGAATTAATACAGGTTTTAATTTTCCTAGTCCTGTATGGATAAGAGATTCAATTCGATAAGCAATAGGATCATATGGATGGAAAATATTAAAAAATGCTGGGCAGGTTGGCAAAGAGAAATTTTCACCCAGGGTATCAAGGCCTCTTATTATCACAAACATCCCTGCAATATTTTCAGGTCAATTATTCTAAATTGTTTGAGACCATTGTACTATTACTATCTTTAAATTGTTGACAGAAAGTATTGGTATATACACCTACACTATGATTTAAAATTAGTAAACTTACACTACCGGACACCTCTTCATACGAAACCTGTGTTTAATGTAGCAGACAGTGATGGAATAATAGTAAACTGGTACACAACAAAGACAGTTGTTTTGCGCTACTGCCACACGGTTGGAATCGACATTCACTTGCGCATTGTACCGCGTATACAGTCAACTTTCTCACACATACTGCAAAACGGACGAGTGATGGCGAGCGGTAGGTGTGAGCCGTTGACCAAATTTCAACGTTACACCACTCCTCGGATAGAGCAGAGTAACAAATTTGTTATTCACAGGCGTTACATATTACCTCCGTTTTTGTGGTTATTTGTTACATTATCTTATGTTATTGTTTTTATAGTAAATATCAAATAATTACACGTATTAACCGCTGTTAACATGAAAACCATATAGTGATTGGATAATAATTATTATTTCTTTATGTATTTTGTTTGCATCCACATTAATTTATTATAATTTACACGCCACTAGTATTCTACTTCAATTTGTCGCACCAATTATCTAGGGCGTATCTGCGCGACCACTCACCACCACTCGTTTGTTTTACTGTATTTAAACTCCAGTTCTCTTATTTTTATCTCATTAAACGCAGGTTTCGCATAAAAAAGATGTCCGGTAGTGTATACATATCTACCAAGCATTGGCGTCGCCAAGGGGGGCAGGGCAGGTGGTGCCCTCCTTGACTTGGCAGATACTTAATATTTTTCTTAATATATGGATAGGTAGGTCCCATAATTAAAACCAATCAATTACAATGATAAATAATTCAAACAAATTGGCTGGCTACATAAATATTCACAAATAAATCTTATTGCAATTTTTCAGTCATCCCATATACAAATTATAAATTATTTCAAAAAATGTTGCTTAGCCTCCTCCTGAAAATTTTGGAGACGACGCCTATGTCAACAAGAATAATGTAAGAAGATACTTGGATTTTTTGGCTTTACCTATGGGGGATCCTAAAGCAAAAAATGTTTTTGGCTCAAAATTCAGATGCGGGTAATAAATTTGAGGTTGACCAGTCCCAATTGAACCCATCATATAACTTATTCTTCTACTCATTTTCCTCTTTGGAGGTGGGGTTTTTGATTTCTGTGTTGGAGGAAACACATCATCATCTAAAACCATGTACATTGTAAAAAAATTAAGCTTATTATTTTTATTAATTCAATTGTTAATTGTTTACCATCCTCAGCTTCTTCCTTTTGTGCTGGTTTGGCATCCTGATGGCAGAGTAAATCGAAAAGAATTAATGATCCTAAACTATGGCCGCTAAGTGATACTCCACCCTTAAATGTAGGATTACGTTCTCTGAATAATTCATAAACACGATTTAACTCATGTCCCACTGCTGATACTATATTTTGACAGTAAACTGGACTTGTATAAAACAATATGTCGAGTAAGGTATCATTAGCAAAATGTCTTAATTTAGGAATACTTTCTAGTGTGATACTTTTCAATTGATTGTCGATTCCTGTTTCATCTGAATGTAATTTTGAATGCCAGCCAATTGGAAGGACCTCAACTCTGTGTACAGTTCCTTTTTTCAGAAGCTGACCTATAGTGAGACTGCACTAACTGCAAGGCAATGTTACGAAATTCATCCACTAAAAGAAATTATTTTACAAATGAAACAATATTTCGTAAATGGGTGGATCTTACCAACTTCTTCTACAGGTCTAAATTTAAAGTCGCAGACTGACCCAATACCATGTACCATAAATAATATGTGATCAACATAGGCGGGTTCGCCCTCATCTAGATCAAATTCATCCATTCCTCTCTTAACTACTCTAGGACGAGTTTGGTTCTGAAAAGACAAAATAGATGTCATTGAAAAATCTACTACATACTTAAACACACAATATGTCAATATCCGAAATTTTTGGACCGGGTATCCGTTTTCCAAATCATCGGGAACCCGGATCCTAGGATAACGGGTATGGAAGGGGTACCCGGATTTATCCGAGTCCGTATACACATAACCCTATTTTATCTATATACCTGCATTCCCGATTTAAAATTTCAGATATCTCTACTCAATGTTCGAGTATACTAGGATTAGTGTCTGGTTTAAAAATTTAGTTCCTCGCCCGGGGATCGAACCCGGGACTTCTGGGCAAATATTCTTACCACTCGACCATGAAGTCACACAGCCAAATAAATGATGTTATCGTTTTTGGTTCACCAAATTTTAGAATTAACCGACTTACTGGTGTGTTACCCCATGCATCTGGTGTCTGCGTCGGCGGAAAAAGAACCAAAACATCAGGCCCATGAAACTCAACTGTCTCCCCATTGGCGAGTTCAACCCTTTTGTGCCACTGGTTAAGTTCAAAAGCTATTTTATATTCTTCCTCTAATTTAGTAGCAATATTCTCCTCATACGGTACCAGGCCATCTGGGCTGCCCTTATGAAACCAAGAACATCTTCTAACTTCGGTAGGAGTACCCTCCCAGTACACTGGTATCCTCTGTCTGCGCAAAATATTTACATCATATCTACTACCATCTGTCGCTATAACTTTATCAGGATCTAAATCATCTACAAACACAAAATATAGAAAAGGATAGGTATTACATTTTGTTATATTTGTTACTTGATATGAAAGCCTGTTCCAGAGCAAGGGAGTCGATCATGGAAAAAGGTTTCCACTCTTTTTTGCTCTCAATTTCTTTTTGGAAGAACCAGTGATGATATACAGGACGATATATTTGTTTAATTGGAACCTAATAAAAAAAAATGTTGCCCAACTATATTAATTTTATTAAGACTGTTAAAAAAAAAACAACTCTCTGTCACCTCATCATACATTATTTAAAAATCTAAAACCAATGGAAAGTAATAAACTTTCGAAAATTTTCCGAAATGTTGCATCTAATAGTCCTGAAGTGGGTTGGAATTGTTGATGTGAAGTTAACACTGATGCAGTTCTCCACGAAACACCAAAACAACATATACTGCACTCGACGCGCACTTCGCCAACCAAGTTGGCATCATCTGGAGATGATTAAAACTCAGTTTTAAGATAACACTAACGTAGCTTTCCACAAAACATCAATACATCATATACTGCACTCAATGCGCGTTTCGCCATCTAAGTTGGCATCATCTGGCGATGATTAAAACTGTTTTCATCTCCAGATGATCCGTGGTTGGCCAAACGCGCGTCGAGTGCAGTATATGGCGTTTTGTTTTTTTCGTGGAAAACTACGTTAGTGTTATCTCTAATAGTCCCGAGGGGATGCCTGCAACCTCTACAAGGCGTGTCCCCAGGAGGCGGATAGGGGAATGCCCTCAGCGGCACCTCGGTGCCAACGGGTAAGTGTGTAACAAAACAATACCCGTGGACCAACAGGCTTGCACAGAAGGAAGTAACTTCTTCAACAAAAAAGTTACCTGGTACCCAGTGGCGCGGGCACAGGACACTAGCCACAAATTTGCAATACAGAGAAGTAAGGCAAAGTTTACGGAGCAAGGGAGGATTACCTCAGTTCCAGTCAGGGAAGGGAGTGAGAGAGCGGGCTCTACCCGACCGTTAGCCAGCGGGCTGTGGAAGGTACTACTGCCACTGACAACCAGGAAACTGGAAAAATGATGGAGATTGGGATCAGTCCTACTCCATCAGATGACCCAATATCATCGGACTAGGAGCGGGAACCATTAAAGTATCCATCTCCAAGGGCTGGAGAATTGGGAACATTTTACATCAGATGTTTACAGGCAAATCTACAAAAAGCCAGGGCTGCCACATACATCCTCGGCAGAAGATTTAAGGAAGAGCAAATTGACATTATTCTCCTCCTGAAACTCTGGACAAGTAACACAGGTCGGGTAAGCGGCCTGGGGAATACTTTTAGCAAGGTAATAGAAGTTGGCTCTGATGAAAGATCCAGAGCCTGTATCTTGATTAGAAACAACATTAACTATTTCATACTTACAGCTCTATCGGACTATAACAAATAAATAAGGAAAGCAAAAAGGGGATCTTGGAGGAATTCTGTGAGAGTATAACTGACCTACCTCACAGTACTAGAATCCACAAAATTCTTTCCAGAGAGCCAACGTGGGAATTCCGCTCGTTAAGGCGACCGGATGGCTCATATACGGATTCTGGAAAGGAAACCCTACAGCTCCTAGCACAGAACCACTTCCCAGAATGCTTGAATCCAGATGACCAACAGCTGTCTGTCGCCGTCAGAAGGAATATTAAAACGACCTGATAAAAATAACTGGCTGAGAGCTAAAAACGTAATCATACAGTGGGCCATCAAATCCTTCCAACCATTCAAATCGCCAGAAGAGGACGGATTTTTTCCAGCTCTACTACAAAACGGACTGCAAATATTGCTCCCATTCCTCATTAAATTATTCAGAGCTAGTCTAGTATGGAACTATATCCCATCCAGTTGGTCGGCGGTTAAGGTAGTATAGTCGTATATACCAAAAAATGGGTAAGAAAGAACCAAGCCCTAAATCGCTTAGACCAATTAGCCTGACATCTTTTCTGTTGAAAGGCCTGGAGAAGGTGCTGGACGGATATATCAGGGGGAACATCCTGAAACATCACCTCCTCAATATCTATCAGTATGCCTATCAGACAGGAAAATCAACAGAACTGGCACTATCTGACAGGAAAATCAACAGAACTAGCACTCAACCACCTAGTCGAGAAGATCACCGAATCCCTTCAAATGAAGGAACATGCGGTGGGAGCTTTTCTCGACATTGAGGGAGCATTTAACAATGCACTGCCCGACTCCTTATATGAAGCAGTGGCCACCACAGGAATTGAGCCGACTATAGGAGACTGGATTCATGCTATGCTATCAAACAGAGCTATAACAATGTCTCTACATGGAGAAACAGTCAGCTTTAGTCACAAGAGGATGCCCGCAGAGTGGGGTTATTTCCTTCCTTTTGTGGTCATTTCATGTGGACGACTTACTGGTTATTCTCACACTGTGGGGGTTGACGTTCTGGCATATGCAGATAATCTAGTCATACTGGTCAGAAGAAACTCTGAAGAAGTCATATCTAATACCTTTCAAGAGACACTGGATGCAGTGTGTAACTGGTGTGACAGGGAACAGATGTCTGTGAACCCTCAAAAAATATTAATAGCACCATTCACCAGGAAAACGAAGTTGGGGGACTTTAGACAGCCCTCTTTAATGGGCGAAACTATTCCATTTGCGGATAAGGTGAAATATCTAGGAATCACTCTAGATAAATCACTTAATTGAAAAAGGTAATCACTTAATGGAAAAGGTAATCCACAAAGCAAAACTGTCCTTATAGACATGTCGTCGTATTTGTGGTAAATCCTGGTGCATGGGTCCTCAACAAATATACTGGATCTATGTCATGATCATCAGACCAATGATAACATACGGATCCATCATTTGGTGGCCGAAAGGATCACAACGGACGGCCAAAGACAAACTCTCTGGATTACAGAGATTAGTATGCTTGATCGTAATGGGGGCAATTAGCACCATACCGTCAGCTGCAATGGAAATCCTCCTGGACTTACCCCCTCTTCATATATATTTGGAAAGAGAAGCCAGGTGGGCAACATATAGACTGCAACAAGCGGCCATTAATATGCCGCAGACTAGTATCATGGAGCGGAACAGGTTGCTGGATGACATAGTCACAGCATCCTGGGAATGCCCTCGGATACCAAGTTGACCTTCAGCATCCTTTTTCCGGAAAGAGATAAGTGGAATCGAAATAAAACAGACCTACTGAGGGCAGTTGCTGGTTTACAGATGGCTCCAAAACTCTTGAGGGAACAGGAGCCGAGTACATAGCTACAGACCAAGGGTGAGGATATCCTCAAGTTTAGGTATTAATGCAACTATTTTTAAGGCCGAGGTTCATGCCATTGAACAGTGTGTGTGTGAAGGCTGGAATATATGCATCTTACACGCAGATCAATAAAAAAATTCAGATAGCCAAGCAGCTATAAATGCTCTTGGCTCCTACCGATGTAACTCCAAAACGAAAGTGACTCTCGTCTGGATACCCGGCCACTCTGGTATGGAAAGTAACGAAATAGCTGACTCGCCAGAGAAGGGGCGGGATCACGAATCATCGGACAAGAACCGATACTTGGCATATCTTCAAGTACTGCGAAGATGGCTATCTCAACCTGGGCTGAAAGGAAAACTCTCCAGTATTGGCAAGAGTTACCAGGACGTTCATTCGAAAGCGTTTATAAAATACCCTTTGAAATCAAGAACTAAGAAACTTTTTAGAGTTAAACAGGGTATACCTGAAAACTCTAACAGGCCTATATACCGGACACTGCCGACTAAATTATCATCTGTATAAACTCGGCCTAGCGGAAAACGCCCAGTGCCGTCTATGCCTGGAGGATAATGAAAAGGCAGACCACGTCTTATGCACCTGTCCCGCTGTGGAGAGGATCCGATTCTCAATATTTGGCAAAGGGCAACTGTTGCCAGAGGATCTACACACATTCTCACCCGATAAAGTTATCAGTTTCATTAAGAGACTAAACTTATTGGGTGAAATATAATTGGGAGTGAGCCACAATGGGCCTGCTGATGGACGCGGTGGAGGGTCCACAAGGACCCACTCACAAAACCTAACCTAACCTATCTCTAATAGTGGGCTCTGGCATCGAGTGCATTTCGCTAGAGGGCGTCGCCGTAACATCGAAATGTAAATAATGTAATTTTTAAGGATATGGATGTGAAAAAATAGGATTCATTTATTCTTTGACATATTTAAAACCGAATTATACAAAATATTTTAATTTATCAACGAGAATTTTTTTCAGATATTCTGTGTTGCCTCTAAAAATTATTTATTTTTATCACAAGGCAATTTTTCTATTTAGCCCGTTTTTTTACATTACTAATTTTCAGTTTTTTTTTTGTTATATAGTTACTTACATTGCCATCTGGAAAATTATTATTTGCTGCATACTGGCTTGGTGTGGAGGTAGACATGTCCAAATTGTTATTTTGCATGGCTTCACTGGCTGGGATGGCATCCATAACGGAACTTTGATTGTGTTTTGATGGTCCAGGAATGATTGGCACAGAATATAAAGATGTGTTTATAGGTTGTGTAACCTGGCCTAATGGCTGTGAGGGTATTGTAGGTAATGGTTGA